CCGGCTAATTTTTTGTTTTATTGTAGAGATGAGGTCTCACCAAGTTGCCCAGGCGGGTCTCGAACCCGCAGGCTCAGGCAAATTCATTCACCGCAGCCTCCCAAAGCGTGGGATTACAGGCTGAGCCACCAAACCCGGCTCGAGAGCCTGATTTTAAAAAGAATCCAACTGATGTTACAAGATCCTCTGTGTCACTGAAACCCCTTTAACACAGCGAAAGTAGAAATTAGTTCACAGTGGCAACAGTTACTAGGTCAGGAATTAATTCTCCTAAACCCTTTGCTGTGACAGGGAATGGGGAACTCACTACCTCACAGATGAGCCCATTCTGTCACCATTGAAAAGAGCTTCTTTATTATTTATGTATTTTAGAGACAAGATCTTGCTCTGTGGTCCAGGCTGCAGTGCAGTGGCACAATCATAGCTCACTGCCACCTGAACTCCTAGGCTCAAGTGAGCCTCCTGCCTCAGAGTCCCGAGTAGCTGGGACTACAGGCTCAGACCACCATGGCTGAGTAATGTTTTCATTGTACTTTTTGTAGAGACCGGACCTTGATATGTTACTCAGGTTGGTCTCAAACTCCTGGCCTCAAGCAGTCCTCCCACCTTGGCCTCCCAAGTAGCTGGGACTACAGGCGTACACCACCATGCCTAGCGTATGTTTTCACTTTCCTTTTTGTAGAGATCATGTTGGGAGCCAGCCTTGGAGGCCCGCCTGATTGACAAAGTCCAGGTGCGCTGAGGACCCCCGGCCGCAAAGCGAGTCCGGGCAGCTGAGGCCCTTCTGTCTTCCATCTTTGCTGTTTGGTACTGCCAAAGAAATTCTGTGCAGTTGTGGAAGAAGAAAATGGCATGTTCATGCGAAGTACTCACAGCTAACCTGAGAATGTCATGGTTCATCTTTCTATTTTCCCATTATGCCGCTTGGCCTTTTCTAACATATGCAAGGGTTAAACTCTGAAACGCATCAAAAATGCTTTCTTTCACTTGGTTATAAGTTACTAGATATTGCTCAAGTAATAAATGATATAAGTATATTCATTCCTTATTTGATTTAAAATTATGTAGTTTAGTGTTTAGACGTAAGGTTTTTTAGAAGCACAAGTTTATAGTAAGTTCATTATAAATTCATTATAAGTTCTAACACTTATCTCAGAGTTATATAGGTGATTTATAACACTGTTTTCACTGACTTAAAATAAAGATTAATCGTTAAGGTTTTTACTTAATTCAATAGTTAAAACTCTAAGTTAACATTTATAGAGTGGGTTTTCACTAAACTCATAATATACTAATCAGACACTTTATGATAACTTAGCTAAAGACAAAAAACAACCTTGGGGGCCTAAAAAGCATTACTAAAAGCTTCTTTTGAGTTCTCTTTAAAAACAAACACTACAGGATAAAAAAAAAAATAACGGAGACACCGAGACAAAAAAGGCGATTACAACACTCTAAAGGTCATAAAATCCCCTCCAAAAAATTACTACTACATAAAACCTTTACACTTAAAAACTTTCTAGAGACAGTTCAAAGACTATAATTCGAGACTTTGGAGTAAAACTGTCATCTTTGGCCTTATAAATAAGACTCATTGTCTAAATGTTTGTAGGGTTCTTGGCTTGTTTGTTGCTAAGACCACTAGATAGTGATAACTTTTAAAAAATATATACGTAAAAAAATTTTCTTTGTCTTGCCCCTTTACAAATGGTATAAAAGCTCTGTGTTAACTAACATTAAATTGTCATGTGTTCAAAAAACAAATATCTGGGTATATTATCTTCATCCTTTGCCTATCCGTCTCTCCTTCAAAAGATCTCACGACCCTTGCGGGGCGGGCCCCCGCAAGACCGGATCTCGCTATGTTGCACAGGCTGGTCTCAAACTCCTGGCCTCAAGCAATCCTCTCATCTAGGCCTCTCAAAGCATCGAGATTACAGGTGTGAGCCACTATGTCTGGTTACTATATATTGAACCCAGCGCTCTCTCCCTGGGACTGGCTTTGCTTGGCTCTCTGGGAGAGTTTATGTAAGAAAACTACCGTCTACCCAAGAGGGAGCCGGCCAGGGAGGGAGAGACTGTCCTCGTGTCTCGTGTTCTCAGGAAGCTTCTCCCTTGCAGGACCCACCCATCCATGGGACATCCCAACACTTCCTGGGTGCTGCTCTGTGCCGGCCAGGTCCTCCTGTGAACACATCTGCAACAGTCCTCAAAGCGGCCGCCCCCACCCCCACTCCCCACGGCAGACTCGCTTCTTCTCCCCTTGTTCTGGGTGCGAGTCTTCCCCGGGACCTGTTACACTGGCTCCTCCCCTCCTTTGGCCTGCTGGGCTCTGACTCGATAAGGGACCGCGGGTGGGGGTGGGGTGCAGAGGGGAGCAGGGCCTCACCCCTGCAGGCTGCGTCCTGCTCCCAGCTCAGTGGCTTCTGGCTGGTCTGGCCAATGGGAGATGCAGATGAGAGATGGCGGGGTGGGAGGGAAGGAAAGGCAGGGTGCTCACCCCTCTCGGTGCAGCACAATTCTATGCTCCCACAATTCCTGGGCAATCCCAGCCCCAGACTCTTAGGTTCCTTCCTTCCTTCTCCGGCTGTCTCTCCAGCTCAGGGCTGGTTGCTAATCTCTGCACCGTGGACAATCTTGGGGTGCCCTGTCAACCACGCAGCTTTTCAGCACACCCATCCCTCATGTCGCCTGCACCCGACATTCATTTCTTCCTTTTTTTGGACTCTGTCATTCACTTGAGGGCAGTGACATGATCACAGCTTAACGAAAGGACAGACTGAGAGTGGGAGATGCATTTTTTTTTTTTTTTGAGTTGGAGTCTCACTCGGTTGCCCAGACTGGAGTGCAGTGGCCACTCCCGGCTACCGCGGCCTCGACCTGCTGGGCTCCGGCGATCCTTCCGCCTCAGCCTTCCAAGTAACTGGAACTACAGGCGCGCGCTACCACGCCCGGCTCATTTTTTTTTTTTTATTGTAGAGATGAGGTCTCGCCTGCCCAGGCGGGTCTCGAACCTGCGGGCTCAGGCAATCCACTCACCTAAGCCTCCCAAAGGCACGGGATTACAGTCTGAGCCACCGAGCCCAGCTGGGAAATGCATTTTTTAAATCCTCTTCCTAAATCTTAATACAATGATGAGAAAGTAGAAGCTATGCTTTTGGAGAAATGCACACTTTAGGTAAAATTAACTTTGCCAACTTTGTCCTTTCAGAAACACAGACTTCCTAATGCCAGAGGTATCTCACAGTGGCAATCGAGCTTGCCTAGAGTAAAGGGAATTTACAAGGCCTAAGACATCATGTATTGGGCAAGGACTGTAAAAGTCATGCAACTTGTCATTACAATAGTTCTGACCGCTCAGAGGGGGACCGGGTGGGGATTCCATCTTCCAGCAGAATGGGCCCTATCTACAGGGAAGCCAAGGATCCCCCGAAGCTACCCACTGGGAATGCATGGGAGATAGAGAAAGGTGCTCCCTCCTTCAGCTCTAAGGAATGTCGTTTGGGAAGGTGCAGGAACATTAGAATCCTTGTCACGCCCTTCTCTAGGGGCTATGATCATGGAGGCGGACATTAGTGGGTCTCTGTGTCACAGGAGCTCCACGACTTCCACAGGTGGTCGATAAGGAAGAAACAGGCAGTCATGTGCAGTCACATGCAGCATCTCCAAGAAAAGGATTTAAGCCAGGACTCGGGGGGCTACGGGCCACCCTCACCTAGAGTGTAGGCCCACTCCCTGTCTGTGAGGGGCGAACTTATCTTAAATAAATCTTTTCTTCTCTCACCTCTTTGTGTGTTGCAATTCTTTGCATTACTCAGATCTCTGGGTTGCCAGTGTGCACCTTCAGCTTGCCGGCTCCAGCGGTGCCGCACCCCTGTGCCTCCCCTCATCTCTCCACGTGTCCTACCACCCTCACCCTATCCATGCCTCCTGAGTAGCTGAGACAGCAGGCACGTGCTACCACACCTGATAAATTTTTAAAAGAATTTTTGTGGAGACAAGGTCTTGCTATATTGTTCAGGCTGGTCTTGGACTCCTGGACTCAAACAATCCTCCCACCTTGGCCTCTCAAAGTGCTGGAATAGCAGGTGTGAGCCACCGCGCCTGGCTGATTTCTTTCTACTTTTATACGCTCAATGGTTTCCGTTTTCCAGGGGGACATCTCGCTTCATGTGCTGCTTCTGCTAATGCAGTTTTAAGACTCATCCCGATGCCCAGACATGGGGGCTGGCACTTCAAACACAGCTGCCATTCTGGACTGCCACAAGAATTTTTCATGTGTGATTCTCAAAAAGCTCTCTGTGGGAGACACCCCGCTCACAAGAGAGGAAACTGAGACTCAGGGAGTGGGTGGCAGTGTCAGGGTTTGTGTGAACGCCTGTCCAAGCCCTTCCTCATTGGAGCACACTGCCTGGCGCTGTGCCCTGGCCCTCTCCTTTCTCACTGGCAGCTGGAGACCAAGTCAGGGCGCCTCAGGAAGGACCATCCGAGAGTCAGTTTACACACCTCCAGGCAGAGGCTCTGCTCTTCATTCTCAAAGCTCCTGGGAGCCTCTCTTAGAGGTTTGACCGGGTGAGCTCAGCGCAGACTCCATAAATATCATCTTCTATAAATATCCATTCCGTGGAAGGCACCTGCTTCGGAATGACAACCACCTTGCTGAGCAAAGCAAGTCCCGGGTTTTGTTTTGTTCCCAGTCTCCAATTACAGCTGAGGTGGGCTTTTTTTTTTTCTTTTTAATTTGCAACCCAAAGGAAAATGTGGAGACCAGGACATTGAACTTAAAGAGTCTGTGAGGTTTCTGCAGTGAAAGTTCAAGCAAAGCCGGGCTCGGTGGCTCAGCCTGTAAATCCGCGCCTTTGGGAGGCTGAGGTGAGTGGATTGCCTGAGCCTGTGGGTTCGAGACCCGCCTGGGCAGCGAGACCTCATCTCTACAATAAATCAAAAAATCATCCGGGCGTGGTGGCGC